ACACATAGCGAAGTGATAGAATACAACGCGATAATGGCAAATTCTTATATTTCACTTTGAAGATTCCCTCTCGCATTCCTATGCCATAAGGAATTCTTTACGGCACAACTCCTTCCTTCGTGCATAACGACTTTAGCACCCGGAGTGCATCTCAAAGGGTTACGACACGTGTACGCTGACAGTGTCAAATATTACCTCGCACATCCGCCGCGTAATAAACAAGTCTTGTTCGCGTTACGAGGTTCCCGACGATAAAGTTACGGCGGGAGTTAACAAGAAGCGCGTACGAGGTAACGCGCCGCGAAGTGATGTCGAGGGCCGCCACGACGTTGCATTTATGAGGCGCAAGCCTCGTAAAAACGCGAGCGTGAAAACCAAAATCGAGAGCCCGACTTCTCGACACGCCCGCTTTCGAGAGGCTGACGACTTCTACGAGAGTGAAACCGTGTCAGTCAGCAGGGGACGCGAGTAAAAGGAAGACAAGAAGCGCGCCACGGAAGTCCTCCGGGGAGGAGGCGGGAAGAGGAAGTGGATCCGGTTAACTTTTAACGGCCTTCAATGGCGAACTTTCCAAACGTCGAGGCAAGGCGTTTGTCGAATCGAACGAAACCGTGCAATTTGGCGGTCGGCGCGGCGTAATTGTTCGTACCGGGTGGAGTCGTTCGCTAAAGAGAAAGATTCGGGGCTCGTGAGCGGCGTCGTAATACGGCCCGAAGATCCGCGTCGGAATGGAGTGGTCGTTGAAAAGTAACGAGCGGGAGACGAAGGTACAAGTGCGAACATATGTCGGACGCGACGGTGGCGGCGACGGCGACGGCGTTGTCGCCGCCGCCGAAAAGAGCGGTCCTCGATGGACATAAACGTATGACTTACGGCGATCCTGCGCCGTGAAGAAGCCCGAGTGTTTTCGCGTCACGTCGCGGCGAAATTTATGCACAAGCCGTCATACGTCACGGCACATTACACCTCGTTAAAGCTGGCGTTGATGCGTGCTGTGGTAGAGCTCGGCGAGGCTACGCTCGAAATAGGGAGCCAACGTTCGCGCGCAGCTTTTCGAAAACCGCGAAAGTCACGAGGAGATGTGTGTTTGCGCGCTCTAATCTACAATGTGCTCTTTGTGTCTTATCCCAGTGTTTCTGCCATTCATTTCTTTTTATCGCCTGGAACCAAAGAACATCATCATGTACAATTTGTCCTTTCTGAGGAAAAGTGTCACTTTACATGGACCAATTAGAATAGGTCGTCTTGTTTAGGTAACACACTGACCAACTTCCTTTAACTTCACTGTTTTCGTGATGCCTCTTGTATTTCTTGTTATTGTCGCTTCGAAATAACAGTTAAAGCCTAATCTACAATGTGCTCTTTGCTTACTGTTTCTTGTTCTCTGTCTTTTTTTAGTTTAAGGCTTAAGGTGTGAGTCAAAAAAAGATAAAGGAAAAAAAACAGGAAGCAAATAACATATTGTAGATCAAGCTTAAAGCCTGATCTACAATGTGTTCTTTGCTTCCTGTTTCTTATTTTCTGTCTTTTTTTAGTTTAACCTGTTAACCGAGCGGGACGTATAAATACGTCAAACGTAAACAATATCGGGTACGGGTAGGACATATGAATACGTCCTTGAAATATATGTTGCGCCCTGGAACGGACGGGACGTATATTTGTTTGTAATTTTGTATTTTCCTTTGTGCTTTATATATAAATAAACGAAAAAATATATATTTCATAGTCTTTTCATTTATTTTAAGCATAAATAAAAAAAAATAATAATATGAAATTACGTTCTCCGGGCGTGACACGTCCTAGTGAAAAAGTTCGCGCCCGTTATATGCTGCGTAATTAAAAAGGGAATTCCCCGGTTAACAGGTTAAGGTTTAAGGCTTGAGTCAGAAAGATATAAAGAAAAAGTAACAGGAAGCAAATAACACATTATAGATCAAGCTTAAGAGTTCCAGAAATGAACTTGACAAAAGACAATCGTCGGTAAAACAGTACATCGAGAAACGAAGATGCAAGAGATAAAAAAACAGAAAACAGAATTAGGCTTTAGAGTCCTTAAAAGTAAGGTTGGCAAACAAATAAGCATGTGTTTAAAAGTTGAATTATAACTTTATTAACAAAATAAATCATAAAGATATAAGTTGTAAAAATAATAACAATGAGATATAAGCTATCATAATTCCATCAACTCCATCGTTATCAAAAAATATTTAATTGAATTTAATACGTTCATGTGATACATTTATATGTGATTTTTGGAATTATTTAAAATACAAATTAAAGAGAATGTTATATAAAAATGTGTTACATTTATTTCCTATATGCTGCTTTTCAATTATTCCACGTGCTTGGAATTCATCGTTAACCAAAGTAGAGCAGACTCTTACTTCTTAGGACTCTAGTGCGCTTTGCTCCAAATGACATCGCCGATTTGTATTCGCATCACGCGCGCTCTCAGCTCAAACGCGGCGGCTCCCGTCTCGCGTTGACGTTGAACGCGATCCTCGTATTAGGCGCGTAAACCTAAAGATTGTACGGTCGTATTTGCGGCGTCGACGACGCGGCAAGAGCACGAGTCAGTGTCATTGTCAAGTGCGCTAGCACGTACGCGTGGAAGGAATTAGAAAATAAACAGAGAGACGTAGAAACGAGGGACGAACAATCGTTCGGGAAATCACGTTTCTGTTTCTGGTTAACCAGAAATCTTGTTTGGTTAACTAGAATCTTCTTAATTTGAACATTATTCTGATTATTTCAACCAGAATTCTAGAACATTCATATATTTTATCAGATATTTCATTAATTCAAATCAATTTTTCCCCGTGTGTTGTTGCTTTGAGTAGCATAATACTAAATAAGGCATAGTAAGGGGTAGTATCGTGAAATTAGTTTCAAATTAACCTTTATTATTTTGAAATAGTGAAATAAATATATAAAAACATAATATTATTCGACAAATCGTGAATTTATGAATAGCTCCCTTGACACACCACTGAAAAACGTCTTGACACCTCTAGAGGCCCTCCAAATATATAACTGAAAAAAAAACGCAAGTTCCTATAACATTTCTATTTCGATTCTGAACAGAAAATCTCCATGTTTAAGACAAGAATGGGGCCAATTAATATTGATAGTAGGATAACCAATTTTGGGACAAATTTCGACACTCTAATCGGAATCTACGTCGTATCCAGAAAAATGCTGGAAATTTTCTATGCGGATGATATAAGAGTCGCGGCCTAATAATACAGCCGGTTCCGGGAAATCGTCCATCTCCTCTCGGCCCGGATTTAGATCGCGGGCTTTCACAATGATGCATAATGAGAGCATCGGTGAACTACAAAGCCGACTTTGGGTCGTGGCATCGCGCGGCCGGTCTATAAGATACGAGTTCCACAAACTAGAAAATACCGATCAAGAGGGAAAGAGTCGGGGGCGAGGGTCCGCGTGCTATTTTTACGAGGGACTCGTGCGATGGGATCCTATTAACATACAATAAGCACATAATTCTCTGGTACTCCTCCCGAGAGCGCAAGATGCCGCGTGCTGCCGAGTGCTCTTGTTGCCCCCCTCCGTCCCCTCATGGCCCTATGGACTCGGAACAAAGGAACCTCGCAATTTCGCGACTTGTCGGCAAAACATTTCGACTGTTTACGACTGCCAAAATTCGAACCGGCTTTGAAGATTCGAGAGATTCGACGAAGAGCGGGAGCTCGGAAAGAAAAGTAGCAAACAGCATCGTAGCAATCAGTATTTGAAATTGGAGTTTCAATCAACGAATTTAACTAAATTTATTCGCGTGTAACACTTAAAATATCTAAATTAATATTTAACCCCTTATATATCTGGAAAAGTTTCTCCGGATATATAATCCGGAAAAGGTAGAATATTAAATTCTTTTTAATTTACTTAAATTATTGTACTTTTTCGCTCATTTATATCAAATATAAACGAGAATTGGAGATCTTTTGTATTGTATTTTTCAAACTTGTTCAGAGAAAATAGTAATAGTAAGAGGCAAAAATCTAAATATGCTTATTAACCCGAGAATGGGCGCGTATCGGTCATTTCCCCGTAAGAATGTCATTTTTTTCGTTTTCTACTTATATCATCTAATCTATTGACATTATCGTATTTTCACTTTTAAGTAATTTTCTTTGATGTTTTCTCGTTTAGCATGAAGCAGACGGCGAAGACGCGCTTATTTCTATGTGAAATTTAATATGTTTTTAACAGTCGTTTAAAAAACCATAGCACGCTTACTAACATTAGTCTTTTATTTCCGCGTCAGTATCGCTCGATGTGCCGAACGTGTATTGTGTTTCCGACATCGTAGTTGGACGGACGGTTCTTTCTTTTTTTGTTGAATCAATAAAATTTTTAACAACACGCGTAATTGGAGTATATATTCTTGATTCAATAGGGATATTATTAAAATTAATACTTGAATTATTGAAATAATACATAATGTGATAATTTTAATATCGCCAAGAAATTCTAATTTTATTTTATTAAACTAAAAGAATGTCATTTTTTTTTAAACTAACGCAGTTAAAATAAAAATATTATGATTTTATTCTTAATATATTCACATATGTATAATAAGTTTAATATGTTTCCTAAACATATTAGATATAAAAATGATAAAGAGAAAAGAAGATGGGAAAAAGAAGAAATAGTGATATCATAAAATTATTTCCTACAATTATTATGTTTCTTTTAATAATTGGATTGGTAATTTATTAATTATTACTTAATTATTATACATATATGTGCTTAAATATACTTCGGTCGAAATGACTGATACGTGCCCACTAACGTTGGTCCCACTCCCGGGTTAAAAAAAAAATATTGGGAAAGATTTCTGCATAAATTTGGGCGGTATGGTAAAATCGCACGGTATGTACGCCAATGTTGCATGTGGTAAAAGATAGGCTCCCCTACCGAGCGCAGGCGGTATAAATCAAAACGATAAAACCGACTGACGGCACTTTTGCTTTCAGGCTCTCTCGGACGATGATCGCGGAAAGGCGCGACTCCGGCTTTTATAGTTCACCGACATCGAAGCCATCGAAGGCGCGCCCGCAAGAAGATAAAGCGCATCCGCCGAGCGCCCGCTCTCGTCGGACGTGTTCTGAAATAGGTGAAGTGCATCTCTCTCCGGGGCCGGAGACAATCACGAGAGCGGAGAGAAACGAGTCTCCGATCCTCGCACTTCGTTATCGGCCCGATGCTATTGACCTCGTATCGACGGCACCCTTCGGCTACGCGGTTCAACATATTTAACGAGCTCGCATACCAACGAGAGAACCGTGTCGAAACCGTCGTCCCCACCACGCGCACAACACTTATTGTTGCCACTATCGGCCGGCAATATCGATCGTATAACTCACCATCGCCACGCGCATGTTGAACTCGCGAACTCGATTTACAATCTGAATCTTTTTCAATGCGAGGCGCACTTCGCGCTCCGAGCAGACGTGACGGACGATAAAAACTGGATGGTACATTGTCGAGCGCAAAATCATATCCTGAAAAAAAGATTTGGTAGTGATCCATCGAGCCCGAATAACAGATATGTTTTGGTGAGACAGTTCCAACTAGACATGTAGGTAACACAATGAAATAATTGGTCAATTTTAACGAAGAACTTTAGCAAAGCTTGGTATTTATTGGCAAGACTGTTATCAGTTTATGTGGTATCACCAAATAATTTGTTAAATAAACCATATTGTTTGGTGACACTTACCACATTATGTGATAAATATATAAAATGACTAAATACATAATAATTAAACTATTCGGTTATTGCCAAATTCTTTAATATTATTTACCAAATCATTCACTTGAGATTCAACTAAATAAAGTACTTGTTTTACTAATTATTTTATAATTATTACCAAGCGATTGGTAGCTATTTATGATACTAATTATCAGTATCAGATAATATATTTTTCTTCAGCTTACATAGCTAAAAAACTTAGTTTGCAATTATTATGGTTTGTAATTCTTTAACATTCCACACACATCTATCAATTGCTTATTTCTACATTACTTATACATTGCTTCTCTCCAGTTGATTTTACGATATCATCCACGTTATCTAAATACGCTTTTGTAATTTCCTGTCACAATCTCCTTAATTTTCACACCTTTACACTACCTATATCTTCTCCCTATCTTCTATCATGTCTAATTACATTTTCTTATTTCACATTCAACAGGTGCCATACCATTTTCATACTCAATATCTCCTCAATATTCTAAATTCTATCCTTCTCTTCAGCGATACATACTTATCCCAGTATTTTTTTCTATCCCTATCCGATCTCTTCACTGCTCTCTTTTTTCCCCCTAAAATTCTCTCCGTGCACAGAGAGAACGATTTGTTGAATTAAATAAATGTTTCTTTGGAATATTCCAAACAAATTTTTTGGTTGACAACAAAAATATTTATCTAAAACTAAGCCGCAAATAAATATTTTTGTTGCGTCAAATAAAATTTGGTTCAATCAATCAAAAAATTTGTTTGGACCGTTCCAAAGAAGTGTTTATTTGATTCAACCAAATCGTTCTCTCTGTGTGTATAGTATAAAGTAATTATTCAATTCAGCCATAGATATAGCCGAATCGCGACTTCAAGTTTATTAAAGAATATCCCTTTAAAATATCCCGGCGATAGGTCCTAGAACAGCCCGTATCGCACGTCGGATAGCAATTCGACGAATCTGACCGATCAGTCACATAAAATCGCGGGACGTAGCGCGGGACGCGTCGTACATCGCCATCGTCATGCGGCACCGCAAGGTGGACGTAGATGGACTACCTGTTTCTACCGGTTTGATATCGGCGCCAACGCTCGGAAAGGCTCTGTCCGCTTGTCGCATACCAAACTGCACGCATACACGTTCTTGCGGCGCGCGGCTCATAAGAAAAAGTCCACAGATAATAGATAAAATGCTCGCGATTACACGATTCTCTCTCTGAACGTGCCCAGCGTGGATCATTGTCGAGGGGGGGACGAGTGAAACGTAAGAAAGGGCGAAGAACTCGTTAGGATAAAACGCATCATTGTACAGCAATGTCGGATATCGTTCCGTTCTGTACAACAACGGCAGCAATTATGCGTGAAGATAATCTGTACTTAAAAGAGGGAAAGTGAATGAGTAAAGAGTAATCGCTTTTCTCAACAGTAGAACGATATTTTCCGTGTGCACCCTGTCGCATACAACAATAATTTTCAAACAAAATGCAGTCTGCCATAACTAAAAAAGATGGTAATTGAAATGATATCACATGCTGTGCAACGTACGATATTTATTTTCTCTTTTTTTCGCGCTATCTGCATACTACGCGATCGTGTCATGGAATATTTCTGAATGTAATATCATGATTCACGACGTTCGCGCGAATGCGACTTGCAATGTGTATGTGTGATTAAAACGATATCAGGGATAGAATGACTCGAGAACGTACAATTAACACATTGTTTGCCTGCCGACGAGGCTCGACAATGCGCAACCTGATTATGCAAATGCATTGTCGCACGTGCACCGGCGTATTCGCGTGTGCGCGTTTGGATGGAACACGCGACGGTTTGGTAGCGCGAATACGCGCCGCAAATAAACGGTATCCCACGCGCGCACGAATGCACGTGCATACGCACGGGGAAACACGTAGCGTGTCTATAATAACCGCGTTACTCTGGTCAGTGACACGGACACCTTAAAGGCCATTTCACGATGAAAATGGCAAGCAGATAAGCGACTTATCCGCGGCCGTTGCTCGCACGGAGGAGGAGAAGGAGGTTCACGCAGAGTGCAAAGTGCATTAGTCACTCGGCGCACGTCCCCTTTCTTCAACGTCTTCGCTGTATCTTCCATCGTTTGATTCAATTGCCTTTCTGCACAGTTACGTCTATCAGTTCTATGAAATGATCACGCCGCTCCTCGGTATGCCTACGATATCGCCATTTCAATTTCGTAACGCCGTTATTCTAAGCGTAGGAGTCACGAAAGAGACGTTTTAGAAGCCTGACGATAATTAGAATTGGTGTATCGAGTAAAATCTTTCACCCGTTAATGTATGCGTACGCACACGCGCGCGTGTGCGTGTAAGAGAGAGAGAGAGGTGCAGCTACAATTTTGATTTCTAATTTTAATATTTTACAATTCGAAAATTTAATACATTATGAGAAAAAATATCTAAAAAAATAAAAAAACATTTGTTCGCACAATAGAGATACTAATAACATATTTATTTAAATCTAATTTTTTTTTTAAATGAATGACAATTGCTTTTATGGAGAACTAAGATTGAAAAGAAATGTACGTTTTCTTATTCGAAAAATCTCAGTGTTAAGATATATTAGTGTAAGCAAAAAAATATATATTATTAGCACTCACCGCATAAATATCCTTTATTTTTTAAATATTTTTTCTTCCAATGTAATTTTCTAAATATTCCATACACGTACAGTAAGAACATAATCAATAAATGTTAAAAATGTTTCAACGTCTGTCGATTAATTTTCTCTCTGTAAGGATTATTATGAGCAATCCGAAATCTATCAAGGAACACGTAGACGTAATTGAAGAAAAGATATACAAATTTAAGAAGATCACGCCAATGGCATCAAACCATCGGTATAATAAGACAATCTTTTTACTTCCGCTGCGCGCCTCCTTTCCGCGTCGTCGACCTCTTTAACGGCGCCTTATTATCTCGATACGTGCGCCAACGAGGCGGATGCATCTCTCTCGGAGTCTCGGCACTAAATCGCGCGGCTCCACGTGCGATCGCGCGTGTAGTCGTCGACAGTCGTACGGGACGCTCCACGACAAATTGCGCGAGGTCTCAAATCGCGTTAACATGTCGGTAGCAAGTACGTACATGTGTTTCTATCTGGTCCCTGACCGGTCGCTGACACGCACGACGCGTTTACTTGCGTGGTCCCAAGAGCAAGAAAGAGAGAGAGACAGAGAGAATGAGAACGAGAGTGAGAGAGAAAGAAAGAGAGAGAGAGAGAGAGTTTACGTGCGCGTCTTGCCATACGAAATCATTCGATGCGACATTAAATCTAATTGGGAAACGTACGTATAAAACGAGAGAGGAAGAGAAAGAGAGAAAGGGAGGGAGAGAGACGATGGAATAAATTTTCGATAAGACGCGTGCGAGTTAAGGAGAGGATAGACGCGCGTGCTGCATCGCACTTAATATGCGCATACTAAAAGGCGGCGAGCTGCCGATGGCCGGCCTCTGATTTATTGGAAATCGATTCGTGCCCGACGTGTCCGCCTTTCCACCTTCGCTCGCTTTAGCGACAGTATAACGTCGATTACATAATAATTACGGCCGGCCATGTAAATGGATTCCCTACCTGTTAGGTGCACGATAAGCCGCAGCACGATGTCATGCGCAGCAAAGTCGTTTGTGATAAGGCCAGTCTGTTGTGCCTCTACGAGGCCATGAATCTCTCGCGCAGCGTCGCTATCCGAGTAGCTTATTTATGCACGTTAATTTCATTTACGAGCAAAAAATCCATCGATTTGTTTATTCACACAATAATATCGAGAACAATGAGCAGTTGCTCGTAGTAAGTCTGTCAAACGCGCCAGAAACTTTTCTCAGAGAAACTTTCATGATTGTCACGACACGATGATAGAAACTGTAATTTGTGCACGCACTGAAAGACATTATCCGATAAAAATTAACAAACGGATATTTCCGATCAAATTCCGATCAATTTTTATATCCGATTAAATTGGATACTTCCGATCATAATGGCATTTCATCGGATAAACCAATGACAAAATTATGAACCATATATTTCTCATCGGATGTTTCCTGATCGGATACAAAAATCCATCGGTATTTTGATCGAAAATATCCGTTCGTTAACTTTTTTATCGGATAATTCTCTCTCGGTATGAAATAACCGAAGGAGGACCGATTGGTTTTCCCAGAAACAGCGACGGTGCGCCCGAAAAGAGCGTCGCGATGTCATCCTCCTACGTAGATGCGCGAGCAAAACGCATACGTAAATAAGCGCGGCAGTGAGCGACCGTATGCACGCGTAAACAGCCCGCGCGTGCCCTCGACCGAGCGGCGCATTGTTCCGAAAGCGGCCGGACGCATCGCGTGCAACAGGCACACACAGTTTGCGGTACGCACATACGTACGAAGTTATCCGAGAGGCGCGCGGAATGTCGGCACGCACACAGCACGACGCAGCGCGGGACAATACGCAATAATAGGACAGGAAGTGACGCAACTTCTGGCGGCGCCCCGTGTGTACCCAGTCTAGCTGCACAAAGTGGGCCCTGAGTCCCGCGACGCGACGCGACGCGACGCACACGAGGAGGCGGCGGACTGTATCATATTCCGTCTTGTACAGTTACACGCATCGCTGGATCGGATTGCCCGTGAGAATGGCAACCGAACCTCCACCACCATCGCCACCGCCTCCTTCTCCTCCTTCTATTCCATTACGCCCGAGTCCATTTCCAATTAGCGTGACTCATTAGCCGTTAGAGAATGCCGGCCACCTCTGGCAGCTGAGAGGTGGTGACCAAGTTGCTCTCTCCGTCTAAAGGCCCGTCTACATAAGCCGCAAAATGTATTCGCAAACGCAGATGCAGAATGACGTGTCAAACACGGGGTGAACGTCCCGACTAGGAACTTATCCCATGCTTCTGATCAAGGTCCTGGATCTCAATCAATTATCCGGTTTGTAATAAGGTGATTTTATCGGATCCTGATGAATCACATTACGTTGCACGGCAATCAAGACCTTATTATTAATAAGGATTATTAATATTTAGGACCTGATAGCATCACTTTATA